ACATCTCTCTCTTTCAATTTTCTCACTTTTTGCCAACTAAATGTCTGCAAGCAGCTACCTGTGCTAAGTGACTACAGGTAGAGCAACATAGACCACAGAACAGGAAGAGATGGCACAGCTGTAGGGTCTTTCTGGAAGGAGAGAGAAGAAGGAGTCTTTGATGAAACTGGAACAGGCAAAAAGTGAAGAGTTACTAGGTGGGATGAAGAGGGAGCACATGACTGGCTGTGAAAGGGAAAGGTGCGGGAGACGGGCACTGGAGAGAGCAGGGAGTAAACAAGAGGAAAAGAGACCTAAGGCTGACCCTTGAAGATCATCTTCACTAGTCCATGTACATCTTACCTGTGCAGATATATTTTCCTTGCCAAGGACCTGCTGAACATGTCTTTTCTGTCTGTGAGGATAGAGAGGTGAAAAAACAAATAGATAAGTGAAGCGGGTAAGAGGCAGATGGTAAGGCAGGACATGCAGAAGTGAGGTGTCCAAGTGGGGAAAGACACTGGCAATGATGGTGCTTCCTGAAAGTCATGGGTATCCCATGCCTCCCCTCCATCTCCCCATCTTACTGTCCCAAGAATCAGCCCCAGCTGCACACTTGATAACATTAGCAGAGATACCTTGGTTGGAGAACAGAAGCCAGCAGTACTAAGTGGAGGTAGAGCCCCTCTGTGGAGAGAGATAAAGGGATATCTGCTTCAAAGGGAAGGCAGTGGGTCAGCACGGGAGAGGCAAGGCAGGGGACATTTCTATTTCCAGGTGCCCTAGAGATTTGAAGAGATAAACAGTCCTTGCTGTGACTAATCCCTTCCCCATCAGACTGCGAGCAATGGCACTGTAAAGAGACAGGTGGCCTTGTGTTGCTTCATGGCTGTTGCTGGGTGATCTGTAGGTCTTATGCCAAATTGCAAAGTGAAATCCCCAGGAATTGCTGAACCTGGATAATGACAGGAAGTAGACAGCAAAGTTGGTGGGATGATGGAAGTTAATCCTCAGCAAGACAAAGGCATCTTGGTGAAAAATGGGCATCTGGGATTCTTCTGGGATCTCACCCAACCCCTTTCCTTGCTAGGCCCTTATTTCACTGTCTTCCAGATGTCCTTATGCTGCTGGGCTGATGCCAAGTGGTACATGCAAAGGGAACTAAAGAGAAGAATGTCAGCAAGTTTCAGTAGAAAGACAAGGAGCTAGAAAATAATTTGAAAGGAAAGAAATAAATCAGGAATTAATAAGGAGGAACAAATTTTAAATATCAATTCTTTCTCTCCCCCTCCCCCTCCCCCCCCAGCAAACTGGGGAATGGTCAGTCTAGAAGGAAGGAAAATAGCTGGAAGAGAAAGGAAAAGAAAGATGTCTGTACTGTTTCATGCTACACTATTAGGAGGGATGCAGGCTGATGGAGGGGAGAGGGGACCATCCCAAGTCTTACTGTTTTCCAGCTGGCTCAGATTGCTGGTGTTTGCTATTCTCATGATATCGTTGACAGCATCTGTCTGATGTACTAATGACAAGACGCTCCATTCACTACTCAAGAGAGGGATTAGGGCTCAAATTGCCATTCCCGCTTGTCACTCACCAAGGAATTAAAATCTTCTTTGAATATGGAATTTACTGACCCCATGGGAGAGCCTAAGACAAAGGAAATGATTCTTTAGACATGAGATCACTGAAAGAAAATAATGCATTAGCTGGAAAGCTTTCAGCTTTCAAAGCTGTGACTGAGAGCCATTGGGCAACATTACACAGAGGCACCTAATTTGTGCTCCAGCGAGATCATCACCAATACCCCAACCATTTCCTCCTCTGAAGGATTAGCAGAATATAGCACAGGGACCCCAGCAGATGGATAGTTTTTAAAGACTTGATATGGCCATTATAGAAGAAGCTTTAATCTGCATATTTCCTAATGGAGGAAAATATCTACTTAATGTCCTGTTTTTATCACTGACAGCTGGCCATGGTCACAAGTGTGGGTCAGTGGCTGTGGAGAGAAGCACTTTGAATTTCCTCTGAGCAAAAGACTGATGCTCATAGTGATACCTTAAGCAAACTCATATATGTGTGCCTGTGTGGGAAGACCAGCTTCCTGTAGTGCAAGCCTATGATCTCTGCTAGCCTAGTCAAGCTGTGAGGTTTTTCAGCAGAAGTGAGCTGGTACTGAACTAAATGGGCACAATGGTAATGAGCAGCAATAACTCAGGAAACTAGATGGCTGGGCAATGATACACAATCACTTTGGGTACTCTGGGTTCCTCCAAAGATTGCTGGCACATGTGATTTTAGGAAGTCTGTGGACAACCTCCCTCCCTGAGTTTTTGTTAAAAAGGTATCTTTAGAAGCATCCAGGAAATAAAATCCTTTAAGAAATGATCTGTGGATTCAAGTTCTTACTATTTTATGTTGGTTGTAGTTTTTTTGGCAGGGTTGGTTTGTTTTTTCTTATTGTTCTAGGACTAGTTTCTGTTCATACTGCGCACAGTTTTGTTGCAATAATTCTGAACTTACCTCCTTTGGAATATAAGTGCAGTATAAGCCAAAATGTGTTGCAAATTGAAACAGCTCTGTTTAATTGCCAGAGTTATGATGGATTGATGGAGGTACAAAAGAACAAGATGTCACTCAAGGCCAAAGACTTTTTTTCTGTTCCCTGTTTTGCATGGGTTGGATAATACATTTTGGTTTAGCATCTTGGCATGTCCACTCTTACTGGCCAAGCCTACTAAGGAGTTTTCCAAACCTGCTCAGTACATTGTTCCACAGATTTCTGTTTGCACTGTCAGAAACAGTAATATGTCCAAGACACAATAGGATGGACAGGTTTATCCTGGATGTATCCTTTCTGCCTGGTTCTGTGATTCAGAACTGAGCATTAGAAGAGAGAAGCCTCTCCACAAAGTGTGGGAATGCTTTACAAGGTATGTCTGGTTGCTGAGAACTGATGGAGCCACTGGCTATGACAGTGTATAAAGGTGAGGCAGCTCAGGGTTAGTCTGGAGGATCCTTGTATCTCTGGAACAATCCCTGCTAACATCCCTGCACCCGCAGCTTGCTCTGACTCTCCGATGAGGGAGGACTTTGAACCTCCCGTGAGTGAAGCCTGTTCTCATGTGGTCTCCTCTCTGGAAGGCTTAAACTGTACCTGAGCTTCCCTGGTGACAGAGCACAGCTGGGCATTCTATAGCTTGTGTCATATGTGCAGATTATCCCTGAGAGGGAAGCTCCCTGCATGGGCTATGCAAACAGAAATATCTCCAGAGACTACAGCAGTAGACAGTTCCTACAGCTCCTACAGGGTTTACCTTCCTACAGCAGGAAGGTAAACCCAGGCTAGCAGGGATGGGGGTCTGCCCCAGGGCTGCCACAGCTGTCCTGCCTCTCTTTTTCTCTGTGAATTGTGGTAGCAGGGATGTTGAAGTTGAAATCCCTATCCCTGCCATGCACGTCCATGCAACAGCATCTCATCAGGTTAAGGAGACTGGCATATCTGAAAGCTGTCACCCTGGCAGGGAGAGACTGCAGAGGTGATGAGCTAGCCCAGGACAGACAATCACTCACCAGCTATTTAAATAGCAGGTATGGGGCTCTTTTGGGAGAAGTGGCTGCACAGGAGGGCCATGGGGCTTATTGCCTTGCTAGCTGTGCTCAAGGGGTGCTGCAGCATAATGAACATTTCATTAGTGTGATGAATGAGAATGGCCGAACCAGATCAGAATAAAACACTGTTTAATGATACATCCTGCCTCTGAGACTGTCCAGCAGCAAATTCCTCATGGAAAATAAAAGAGCAAGGAAGTATGTAGTAAATCCCCCATATATACTCTTAGCCTCCAGCAGCCTGAGACAGATGTTGAACCTTTGTATTTAATTGTGCATTTCCTCTGCAGCATCTCTATCCAGTTATTTTATGAAACCATATAAGCGTTTATTACCCACACTCTCCTGAGGCAAGGTGTCCATGGCTTGAAGGTGTGCTGCGGGAGGAAGCCTTGTGCTTACTTGGACTTCACCCTAGTTCTTATGTCTTATCTTTTGAAGAGACAGTGAGCAGTAATTTGTGTTCACCTTTTTTATTCCCTTCAAGGTTTTATTATACCTATTTATTATAGCTAATACAGCTTCTCTCCTCTGTCATCTTTTCTTTAGAGAAGAAGGCAGTGTTGCAGGCAGCCAGGAGCCTATGTCACTGGATGTCTTTCATAGAATCACAGAATGAACTAGGTTGGAAAAGACCTTTAAGATCATCAAGTCCAATCATTACCCCAGGAGAACATTTTTCCAGGAATGATCTTGGCTGAAGCTGCCCTGGGGAAGCATGAACTGGTCTCGAGATGGGCCTCCTGGCACTGTGATACTATGATACCCCTTGCCAGTGCCAGAGCCCAGCTGACCTGTGTGCCCCAAACATTCATCCATGAGCATTCCCAGCCCCTCCCTGGCCACCTAGATGTGTCAGAAAGCAGGCACTCGCTGCTGGTACCCCATGTGGGACCTAACTCTGCCTCCTAATTTTGTGGACAGCCCAATGAGAGGCCTGTGCAGTGCCTTGGCATTAGATGAGACAGTGACACTGGGACACTGTCCCAGCAGCACTGGTCCCTAGGGTCTGGTTGCTGGAAGATGCTTTGCAGGGCACTGAGCAGCTGCTCTGTGAAGATGAAGCTGTAGAAATGAGGAGAGGAAAGCACAGGAGGGGTCAGTGTTCCTCAGGGACTAGAAGCATCCTTTGCCTTCAAGTGCATTGTTAGAGGCAGACATGAAGCTGCTGAAAAATTGAGAAGTAGGCATGAGCCATAGTTTTGTCTTGTCCCAAGGGCACTGATAGGTCTTGATGGCTTTGACCAGCCTCCACCTGCAACCTTTGCCCATGGGACCAGGAGCCCCATTTCAGCTCAGCCCTGGGTTTTTAGTCTTTGTCTGAACTGTATCATGGTTACCTCCATCTCTTTCACAGCTGTCTGTCCATAGACACAGTGTCTCTGGAGCCTGGCACGTGGACTGACTTCCTGTCTTGACCTCAGAGCTGCCTGGCAATCACTGGGCTGTGTCTGGCACTGGCTACCAGACTGACCCTGACCTGCAGCTTCTTACCTGGACCTTGGACCTGCTTCGTCACCACAAGATCACCTGATGAATGAGCTCGGCTGAACCCAAGTCTATCCCTGGGCCTGTCCTGCTCTCATCTTGTGCAAAACTATGGGAAAAGCCCACCCTGGCACCTGGGCAGTGCCTGGCTGTACCTGTGATGACAAGAAAGTCATTGAGCTTCAGGAAGAAGGCTAATGTGCATCCTAAATACTGGTTATTGTATATCGTTTTAAGCCCTGGAGGACAGGCTGGGAGAGATTACAATAGATTATTACAAAAATAAGCTATTATGAGTGCCTCTCCCTGTGCTGGGGTAGAAGGGCACCGCCTCAGCATTGCTCTGAGGCATTTGGATCAGTGCTCAAAGATTCCAGTGGATTAGCACTGCCTCTTGCAACCGCTTTGCACCCAACACAGGGTGTTTGGAGCAGATATAGTGGTCAGTGGGTGACCAGAGGCCTTGGGTCCAAGGGGCTTTGCCAAAGCTGGGGGGCATGGCTGGGAAGTACCTCTGGGGAGCAGGGCCTGGGCTCAGCACGAGCATGCTGTGATAGCTGGCAGGCGAGGTGGGACGCTGTACGGCACTGTCAGGAAGGAGGCCAGCAGATTCCTCAGTGATGGGATAGCTCTGAATGACCTCAGCACAAATGGTTGGCGCAGCTGGTGGACTCTGAGCACCCTGCCTGTGCTGAGGAGAGCCAAGCGCCCCAGCTCTCTGTCCAGGAGGCACCCCTCACCCTACAGCACCCCGCAGCACCCTGTAGCACCCCGCTTGCTTGCCTGCCTGCTGAAGCTGAAGGGGACAAAAGTGTTGGCAGCTCACAGAATTGTTAGTAGAAGAAGTAGGAAGTCAATGGGGAAAGTCAAAGAGCTATTCCCTTCTCAGCATCAGGCAAAGCTGGCTCTGAAAAGGGTTGAGTAAAATTGAGTGCTGGAAATTAAGGCATAGTGACTGTATGAAAAGCTACCATCAGTGATGCACTGGGTAAATGCTTATGGCCCATTTGAATATATACAGATAAACTGAGTATTGCCATAGACTACAATATTGAAACAGCAGTGCCATTTATATTCTGGTAAAGGAGCTTGATGTCTGTGTTTCAGCAGCTTTCTCTCACACATGCCCTTGTTAATAAGCCTCCATACCACCAAAGAGTGCTCTCTTGGGTTCAAATGGCATCAAATCTTCCATCACTCTAGATGCTGTTGGTGCCTCTCATAGTACGGAATGATGTGGGTTTGCGTAACTCTGAAACAGCAGTACAAACCTCCTCACCCAACTTACTTCCTTTGGAAATCACCAAAGTCGTTGGCTAGGGACACTGTGAAAAAGGGTTCACACTAAAGCCAACACTGGAGAAACTGAGTGTCCTGCTAACGGTGTGTTGGAACAGGCAGTCTCCTCAGGGGCTCTTCAGGTGCTTGCTGGAGCAGGGCAAATTTCTCTGTGAAGGGGCAGTGTTCTAGTTGCAACTGTACCTCTGGTATCATCTGGCTGGAGCACTGACAACCCTGATCCTTTAGAGCTGTATATGGTGTGTACCTGAAGAACTGTTGCTATTCTGATGGGAGTGAAGTGGGCTGTTGTGTGTATGCTAAGGAAGGGGATAAGGGAAGAGAAGGAAGTATTATAGAGGTGTGGGAGTCCTTCTTGATTAAGTCCCTTCGCTGCACCTGCTTTAACCCAGCACATTGAAGACCTTTCCCAGTCTGTGGAGCATCCTTCAAGAATGAGTGTGAAGGAGCAGCCTGGAGCGGCACTAGACCTGTAGGCCATCAGCACCACAACCTCAGTCCCTACATCTTATCCAGAAGCACAGGGATGGCTGGGAGCCTCACTGCTACTCAGGACTGAATCTTCTTGCCTGCTCTCTGAAGAGAGGGCAATTACCTGCACTGGAGACCCAGAGTACTTATGGTTATGGGGCTGCTCTGCTCTCTTCTGGGACATTGTCTTTTACCTCTGTCTTCTCAGCCCTCCTCATGAAACTGCATCCCCAGAGGTAGCACAGAGGCTTATCGGGGCAGTTCAAGCCCTACAGGTCCCCTACATGGCCCCAGCTCTAGGGAAGAGGGAGGCCCGCGTCACAGCTGCACGCATCACTGCTGCAGATACACAAACTGATCTATCTCCTCAGGAGAAAAAACAGTGCCTCAGAGCCAAGATCTAGGACCCACATTGTGTCCATGACCCCAGGAGCTGCTTTCGTCTCCACAATCACGTGGAAGGAAGCGGACTTTGGCACAGGACTGTAGCCTGGGTGCAGGTACTGAGAACAGGTGAAGTGCCTGCAAGTCACTGTAGTTGTCATTAATAATTTCAGCTTCATCGTAATGCTTTGTGGTAATGGTGTGTGTGAGGAGTCTGACCACACTGGGCCCCTTGAAGGGACCTTGGACCAGTTGTAGTTTGTGCCTGGTCTCTAACGCTCACTGACACTGGCCGTCTTGGTAGCCAAGGGCAAGCTCTGACAGCCCACAGTCATTCTGAGCCTTGCCATCAGGGACTCTTACTTGGCATAGCCCCAGAGCAAGGCCCATGCACCAGCACAGGGAGCTGCTTTGCTCCCTCAGCTGTAACGAGAGCCCAGGCTGGAGGGAAGGGCTGAAAAGGGTGGGTCTGCTGAAGGGTCCCTTGGGCTTATGATGGTATGGCTAGAGCAGAAACAACCACTCACTCTGATCCATGCAACACGTCCCTCTCCATAGACAGGGCAGATGGATACCCCCTTTCCCCCCCCCCCGGCTCCCCCTCTTTTCTTCCCTCCTGGAGGTCACCTTCAGCAGGGAGGCAGCGTGCCCCCAGGACCAGAGGCAGGGGGAAGGGGCGGAGCGTCACGCTTAGCCCCGTAATGCCTGGCAGCCCCCTCCGGCTGCTCCGTGCAGGCTGAACCCAGCCTAGAGTCTGCGGCTGGAGAAGGGAGGGAGTCCACGGCTGGCTGTCAGTGCTGTGCTGCTGGAGAAGGTGAGCGGCTTCGTGCGGACAGGGAAGGAGTGTGGGAAGAGAAGTTACAGCCGTAGCGGGATGAAGGAGACAGGGCAGGAGCATAGAAGGGCACCCACCCCTCACAAACTGGTTTTGGAGACTCTAGCATAGCGTGCCGGCAGAACGTGGAGTGCACCCATTTCCCACACCTGGTTGATGGTGAGCTCCTTGGGTGTCTCTGCCCCAAAAGGTTGGTTTTTGTCTGGTTGTGTCCAGTGAGATGGTGCCGTAGTGCTGGCTGGTTGCTTGGGAGGAGGGTGTGATGGGGCTTGGTCCCAGTGAGACTGTGTGTGCCATCTTCTGCCCGAGGAGGCTGCTGTGTGGATGGAGATTGTGGTATACTGCTTGCTGGGGAGAGGCTTACAGGGCTCTCTCTGGGGAGGCTGTTAGGTGTTTCTGCCCGAGAAGAGCGATACACGTTTCTGTAAGGGACGGCGATGCGGTTCTCCACAGTGATATTAAGCACTAGTCTGCTGACCGCTTTTAGAAAGGACCCCATAAACCTGCCCACAGAAAGGCCAGAAACAACCACAAGGATAATCTTTTCAGGTCCCTTGCGTGTATTAAACGTGGTTTGCACTAGAGTGGACCTTATGGGGAAAAAAATAGTGCCATTCTTGAGTTGAAAGTTCCAGAGATGGAAGGATATTCTTCCACTCTGTTTGATGAGATTTTCAAGGATAAATGTCCTTCTTCACAAGATATGCCCTTCATCTGAGGTATGAAATTGCCTCATTTCAGCTTCAGCTATTCATTTTATTGTAAAGCTTTTATTAATTATAATGCTTTTACTAAGGGAGAACCCTTTGTAGTGAAATTCTAGTGCCCACAAAGGTATACACAGATGACGGAGTAACTTCTTTGCTCTCTGTTTGATAAGCTAAAAAGACTGCTCCCCTGGAAGTTTCCCCTGTAATTGGAAGCCCCACTGTCATTCTGTCATTCTCATGGTTCTTCTCTAGTCCTTTTTCCATCAAACCATGAACACCAGCTCAAGCTTGCTGATCTATGTTTTCACCGATACCAGTAAAATATAGAAAGCATCTAGTAGCTAGTTCTGTTAACCCGTCAGCTAGCCTCTGGAGGAGTTCAGGAAATTTACTCTAGAAACCATCCTTTCACATCAGTATGTTTTTAACATTATAAAACAATCACAGAAAAGTAAATAAATAAGAATGCAAAGTAGAGCACATGGAAGGAATACATTTCTAATCAAAACACAAACCCCGCTGGTGCACAGTGTTCTCAATTCTAGTGAAGATGTCGTCAGCAGGTGGCCAGCTTTTCAGAAATACAGCTTTCCTAACTCAGCTGATTTTCAGAGATTAAATTTCAGACTGTCTCAGGGCATCTGTGTGTAGGAACCTCTGCAGAAACCAGAGTTCACTGTAGGAGGCACTTCGCCTCAGAACAGATCTCTTATTATGATCTGTCTCAGTCTAAGTAAAGCTGACCGGCTATATCTATTTTTTTTTTTTCCTAATTTAGCATCAGAAAAATGCTATTTTGCCTCTTGCTGCTGCTGATTCCTGTGTCTGACGCTTCTTGGGCATTCTCTTCAGCAAAGTAAATGCAAAAGTAACATCAGTAACCCTTGTAGGGCCAATCTTCTAGGGTTGCATCTGTATCCTCATAGATGTATATCTGTATCACTGTAGATTCTTTCTAATGCAAGTCTGTATCACCCTACGTATTAAGGTCTGCAAAGTGAGGCTATACCACATCTACATTTTTGGGTTTACATAGTGCCCATTTTATTTACAAAGCAACATGAAGAACTTAGATTTATTTTATTAATATGATGTTTTTGTTTCCTGTCACACAATGCCAGGCTAAATTCCTAAATTTTTTTGTCATTTGAAAAACTTTTGTGTGCGTGTACGTGCATGCACTAGTTTTATCAAGCAATGCATTATCTACCTAAACTCGTGTTGTGTCATTCACAAACATTTTCTGGATGATTTCAGTGCTTTCTTCTAGATCAATAACAAAGGTAAAAGTATTCTAACAGGGTCAGGATCAAACAAAATTAATTGTGTGGAGTTAGGACACCAATAAAAGACAATAATATCCACTGTACTGTGCTTATTTTTAAATCCATTAAAAATATGAGGCTTATTGATTTTGACCAATGGCATGATTAATTTGTACAGAGCGCTTTCAGAGAATGGTCAGTGAATGGGATGTTTCTGGCTGTGCTGTTTGAACCAATACTGGGCTGAGAACTGCTCCAAACTCTCACCAGTGATTTAGAGGTTGATGGGAAACCTCTGTGGATAGGGTCCTTCCACAGCCCCTAGACAGAATGACTGTGATGGTTGGATAACAACAGAGACACCAAGTGATCTGAATTACTTGATACACTAAATCCATTTGAGCAAAATGCGATTTATAAAAGCTGGTGGGAAAGTATTTAGGCAGAAATGCAGCAGGCAACACCCAGAAAGGGATGTGAAGAGGAAGTGGAGCTTTTCCTCCAGAGCCCTCAGTAATTTGAAAAAACTCTGGAGTCATGATGGATATATGAGGCAGGGCAGCTTCCCAGTGTGTCAACCAGAGAGGTTGTGGAGTCTCCATCTGTGGAGGTACTAAAAACCTAACTGGACACCTATATATCCTTGGGAGGATATATATTCAATATATATTCCTATATAACCTGCTGCAGCTGCTGCTGCTTGAGATGAGGAATTGGATTAGCTGATATCAAAAGGTCCCCTTCCAGCCTAAACACCTCTGTCATTCTGCCATCATAGCACTATTTCTGTTTCAGGTTCTTGACATGTATGGAGTGCTTTTGTGGACCAAATATATTAATCATTTTGGTTGAAGAACCAGAATAACATTACCTAGCTAAGACACTGTGTCTCCATAGGCTAGCTCCTCCTCAGCTCCTCAGGAAGCTGGAAGGCATCTCCTGGTGGTGGAAAGGATGTGAATTTCTTGCTGCTGTAATGAGAAACTCTTGTGGGGAATTAGGGTTTCTCACACGTTAACAGCCTGGAAATAAGACCTATAGCAGGGATGAAGCACAGGAAGGATAGTGGATGAAAGAACAGTTTTGAATAGGACCCTACCTGCTGACTTCAATACAGCACAGCAAAAAAGTGGGTGCATCCTGGCCAGAGCCCTGGGGGCCTCCTCCTCAGTGTTTGTCACTCTGCAGAAGGCAGATGGCACTCTAGAAGGTAACAGAGGTAAATACAGCGTACCCAGACATGCTCTACCCACTGGTGACCCAAACTTGGACCTCACTTAGCTTCCTATGTAATGGCAGTGGTATCTCAGAGAAAGACCTGACAGCTTTGGCTGTTTCCTAAAGTATGGACTGTATAGTGTAATTGGTTTCCTCAAGGGCAGCAATGGCCAAAGCCTGAAGACTTTTCTGGAGTGACTGCAGCTGGGGCTTCCTTCATATGGAGCCCTCGTCAGACCCACAGTATTGTCATTGTCCCACAAGACACTCTACCCATATCCTCTGGTTGATCTTTTTTTCCATGCTGGCTATTTTACTTTGATGGTCTATTCTGTACCTAAAAGTCTGCCCTCCCATGTCAGTGGGGCCATGCATGGAAGTGAGGATCCTTGGCACCTATACTGCAGTTCACTTGAAATGTGGAGTGGAAGGACAAAAGAGTTTTTGGGATTATTTTTTAACTGCAAAAGCTTATGTACTGAAATGTTTTGACTCCCAAAGCTGGAGTAAGAACCAAGAATATTCAGAGAAGCATATCCTCCCATTTACAAAAGGAAGTATTTAATACCATAAATAGAAGTGATGAATCATTTAAAAATAGAATAGATGAATCAGATAATAAATAATACAAATAAAATTAATTAATAAGTATTTTAAAATGACATCATTATTGATTAATACAGTGAGTGGATGCACTGAGAAGATTCTAACCTTTGGGTTGGATAGCACTAACAGGTGGCCAGCCTACAATGGAAGAAATTTTATCTAACTCAAGTTTGAGAAATAAAGTTATCCAAGAAGATCGTGAACCATTTGCTAACAAGAACTTGTCCATGACCATGAATTTGACATAGGAGAAACACTGTCTTACAGAAGAGATCTTTTAGTTGGGTTTTTCCCCTCCTCCCAAATATAAATCTAATGTGTTCTGCACAAGACAAGCAGACATCTCTTCTGTTGTTTCACTCCCTGCTTATTGTGGCTTTAGCCTATTTAACATCAAGGGAGGTCTATGCCTTTCAAAAGTCTATTACACTTTAAGGTTTTTTTTTTCTCCATATTCCTAGCTAGGTCTCTAAAACACTCTTTCAGATATATGTTTTAACACTTAAATGTGGCAACACCAGTTTGGCTGGGCAGCAAGCAGGAGGACATCAGAGCAAAATCTCTGAAATACTTTCCAGACTTTCTCTGTGAGTTTCTCACCAGCCTTCCATTCATTCCCTCCCGTGCATACACTAGTTCATTGTTGAACTCCCCACGGACTTTACTAACTTTCACTGCTGTTGGCTCTCACACCAAGCCAAAGCCTTTGAAGAAAAGTAGGGCAAATTACTTTGTACTTCTGAACTGGGTAAGACTTAATGCAGTCTGAAAGAGGGAAGGAAAAAGAAAGGGAACTTTGCAACAGTCAGTCCCAGTCTCATGTATAAATCCAGCCCTTTTGTCATTTTCCTAGTTTTAAATAATTCTGTTGCTAAATTAGTGGATTCTTAAGAATGACCAGATTAATTGAAAATTATTGGAAATTGAAAATTGAAGGAACTCTAACAAGCTCTGGTCACAGACAGAACAATGTAAAAACTAAGGGAAAAGGCTTCATACTTTCTGCTCCCACTCATATTCCCAGGATGCCATCTTCCTTTTTAGCAATGATGTGAGGTCTTACTCCCTCCTCTGAAGGTGTCGTGTGTCAGAATATTTGATGGGAAGAGGTCCTGAGTTTGTAGGTGCAGAGGTGAGCCGCCAGTTTTACACTAGGGCTCTGTCTCATTGCACAGTGTTTACGACATATCCGAGAATGCTGCAGCCTTCGTGCTCTTGGGTTGTTGGGTTGCACCCTGGGCTGCATTAGGCAGTGTTACCAGTAGGTCAATGAAGATGATCCTTCCTCTCTCCTATTGAGGCCACATCTGGGTCCAGTTCTGGGCTTCTCAGTGGAAAGATATGTGGACAATACTGGAATGAATCCAGTCTGTGAAAATGATTAAGATAGTGAAGCATCTCTTGTACAAGGAGACGCTAAGAGACCTGGGACTTGTTTAGCCTCAGAAGCAGAAAGCTTGATGGGATCATCTTGTTGATGTGTATAAATACCTGTAAAAAAGACACTGCCAGATTCTTCTTACTGGTGTTACGTGACAAGGCAAAAGGCAGTGGGCCTCAAATACAGAATTGCTATTTAAGCATAAGAAAAAACTTTTTTTTCCATAAAGGTGATCGAACACTGGAACAAGTTGCCCAGAGCAGTTGTGGAGTCTCCATCCTTGGAGATAATCAGAACTGGGCTGGACACTGTCCAGAGCAACCTGCTATAGTTAACCTTCCTCTGAGCAGGAGACTGCACTAGGTGATCTCTGGAGGTACCTTCTGACCTCAACCGTGCTGTGACTTTGGTTCTGTGACCTTGCTCCAAAGCCAGGAGAGTCTCCCAGGCCCAGGGTGCCTGCGTTCAGAGCACAGGGAGGTAGTCAGGGGGAAAGTGATGCCATAGGTGCCTTAAAATGTTGCCTTGTAGCTGGCTGGGGGGCTAAAAAGCATTTCTCTGAAATGGGTCTGAAGCAGCTGGCTGTAGGTCAGAATGCCATTGATGTCCAAGCTTCCTTCCTGCCCGGGTTTCTTGGCTGCACAGATGAGTGACTGCGTCAGAAATGTCAGCAGGCATGTGAGGTACTGAGCTCCCTTTGGCTTGCTCTGAGCACGCTGCCTGACTAGTAATCCCTTTTTTGTCATGGGCTAGATGTGCCGCTGCCTAAGGAACAGGCCTCTCTCTGCTGCTACCTCAAGGACTTTCTTCAGTAAGAAGTGAGGGTGAGTTTCTGAGTAGAGAGGCATGGTCTTGCTACAGTAGGCTAAGGAGAGTAAGATGACATGGTACCTTGGAGACTAGAATAAGAGGAGGCCTGAAAGCCAAGCTGACACAGAAAGGTGATCCAGGTCCTTGAAAAGAGAGGCTCCAGGACTACAGTTAGAGTCTGGAGGCCAGAAAGGATTAGAGGGTTGATGGAGGTTCTCTTCAATATGGGACCTGTTACATGATGAGGGGCTCTGCCCAGGGGTGTACTGTATAAAAGCACAAGCTCAACTCTAGCACATCTGTGAAAGTACTCAGGCTCCAAGTGGCAGAAGCACCTGCTGCCATGGCATGGTTTGCATGGCGAGTTTGATCTGGTTTTCTCTGTGCATGTTGTGATGTTCCTGACTCAGGCTGTGGTGTTTCTGCAGCACTCATCGATGGCCGAGAGCTCAGCTGTGGCTGCAGCAGCAGCAGGGACAGCGGCACCAGCCATGCTAGAGGAGCTCCTGGAGATCACAGCTCAGAGCCTGGTGCGCACTGAGGTGGCTGAGCACTATGAGGTTATTCGGGAGCTGGGCAGGGGCAAATATGGCCACGTGATGTTAGTGACCCACAGGCAGAGAGGTAAGGAACGGACTGTGCCCTGTGAACCACTATGCCTTGTTTCCTCTTCACTCACCAGAGTGTTGGGTGGGCTGGTGGTTCCCTGGGGCCAGGCACCAGGCACCATGGGGGTTCCCCAGGGAACGCTGAGGACAGGACCTCCCCAGCCAGGCAGCATCCCATTGTGCTCAGGGGACAGACCAGAACATCAGGCAAAGTTATACTGATGAGGCAGGTGCAGGGTCAAGCTGGGAAGTCAATCCACAAGTCAGGATCAATAGGACTAGGCATTGACACGGATGTGGTATAGCTGGAAAACAGCACTCCCACCACGTAGCTCAGGCAGGGAGTGAAGCCCCAGGCCTGAGCTTAAATGGTGCCCTAAGGCCCATGGATAGAGGGTGTGAGTAGAGGTCTTAGGTGGAGTTGGCCAAGGCCATTAAGGCCTAATAGCACCCACAGAGCCCTGACACTACTCTTCGCCAGTAGTCCCGGTTGAGACTGATGAGCCTGTGTAGCCTGACTTTCCCTTGTGCTCCTGTGCACTGACTGGCTCAAAATCCATACCAGTGGCAACAGCTGGTCCCAGATCTGGTGTCCACAGGATATATCTACACAAAGCTTTGGGTCAGAGACCTCCCTGTGGCTGTGAGTGTCCAGTTCCATGGCTGCTCAGTGCCCTCTCAGTTTGGCTTTCAGGAGAGTGACTTTCAGGAGAGTCAAACCCACTCTTCCTATTCCCAGGGACTCCTATGGCTCTCAAGCTGCTACCCAAAGCCAGTACCAAGCTGCACACCTTCCTGTATGAGTATTGTGTGGCACTCTCCCTCGCCGCCCACCCTGCCATCATCGGCATGTTTGGAATTGCCATTGAGTCCAGTCAGTACTATGGCTTCCTCTACGAACCAGCACTGCACAAAGATCTCATCTCTATCATCAAACCCCGGGTGAGTGCTGATGTAAGGCCATGGGGACTGGGACTGTAGCATTTGTCCACTGTGCGGGCTGGCTGGGTCAGAGGGAGGTAAGGGCAATGGGCTGTTGCATTGATGTCTACAGCATTGAAACAGCTTCAGGCTTGCAACACCAGAAATACAAAGGTCTTCCCCAGTGCAGAGCAGGCAGGTGGAAGCGTAGCTAGCAGAGCTGCCAAGGTGTCATGAGTAAGTTGCACTGCCTGTCTGTCTCTCTGGGCAGGATGGGATCCCCGAGCCAGCCGCTAAGCAGTGTGCCAAGCAGCTCGTGAGCGCGCTGGAGTTCATCCACAGCCGAGGGCTCGTGTACCGTGACATCAAGCCTGAGAACGTGCTGCTTTTCGATCCTGAGTGTCGACGCATCAAGCTGACTGACTTCGGGCTTACACGGCCCAAGGGTACCAAGCTGAAGCTGGTGGCCGGGGTAATCCCCTATACCGCCCCGGAGCTGAGCAACACCGCTGATGCCCAGGGGGTGCCCATTGACACCAGCTTGGACGCCTGGGCCTTTGGCGTGCTGCTCTTCTGTCTGCTGACTGGCTACTTCCCCTGGGAGCAGAGCCTGCCAGATGACCCTTTCTTTGAGGACTTCATGCAGTGGCAAGAGACAGGCCTGGAAGAGGACCTGCCCCGCCACTGGAAACGCCTGACAGCTGAGGCTGCCCTGATGCTGCGGAGCCTGCTAGCCCTAGATCCTGCCAAGCGTTGCCCCGTCAGTGGGGTGCTGCGCTATGTCGATCGCCCTTGGCGACTGGAGGATGGCAACAGCCAGGAGGCTGCAGTGAAGCCCTAGAGCCTGTTCCCCATAGGGGCAAGATGGCAGGTCTCACCCTGCAAGGGACTTCAGAGTGTGAGGCACCATGGTGGCCTGGGTGTGAGAGGCCATGGTGATCCAGAGGGCAACTTCTTTGTTGTCATGGAGCCAAGCTCCTTCTCCAACTGATGGTCCTCACCCCATGGTTCAGTGCTGCCCAGTGCCACCTGCTTGTGCTTCATTGGGGCTTGAAAATATCCTTCTTTTGGAAATAACTGTCCGTGTGTGAAGCACCCGCTCGCTTCCTGGCCACAGGGACTCCAGGGTGTTTTCTAGGTGCTGCAGTGCCTGCCTTGTCTCAAAATAGAGCAAAATATGTACTTTTGTGTTTGCGTATGTGGCTCTTTTCCCTTCATAATAAAATGTCTGTGGGGTCTGCTTGATGTGGGAAAGCAGGGGCATGACAGAGCCTGCTGCCATCTCAGGACAACCTGTACATGGCAGGGACCACCCCTCGATGCTGCCTGGGCCTCCACCAGAATCCTTGAACGGTGGCTTCAGGCTGGTGGGGTGGAGGTGCTGGGAAGCTCCCAGCATGTGGCTGCAGATGGTAGCTGGGCACTGATGATGGTGTTGAGCACACCTCCCTCCCCGTACTGCTTTCAGATCCTAAGAGAATGTCCTTCATGCTCTCAGATGCCCGGTTACCGCTCTAAGAAGGTCCTCCTTCTTCCATTTCTTATCACCACTTTAACCCTTCCCTAGCAGCACATATCTCCTATCTCCTAATCCCCCGGTGTCCTTCTAGGTGCACATTTTAGTCCTGGAAAGAGGTAGCAAGTAGAGAATTAGAGGTTAGAAGCTCTCATTACTTTACTACCTCTTTCCAGTCCCCAGGATTATGCTGTTGGTAATCCTTCCCAGCTCCTAGCCTGACCCTATTGCTGGAAACATGCCCATCTTAGTTTCCATTCTCAATGGCTTAGTAACTTTAAAAAATGCACTGGTCCAGCACCATAGTTTCTAGTATCCCAGCTTTTTTTTTCACCTCAGATACTTTCCTGCACACACTCTTCCGTAGTTGCCTGACGTCCAACTGTCTTTTGCCAGTATCTTCTCACCCAATGGAATTCTACTATTACTTACCTTCCTCATTAACTTTCCCTTTCTGCTACCCATCACCTGTTAAACACCTTTCATTCATCTTTCTCTCAGCAACATCACCTTCATACTACTCTCTTGTACTTTTCCTGCTCTCTACATCACTTATCCCTCATGTCTTTCTTCCAGCTCCCCAACCTACTTTATGAACCATCACTGCGCTTGCCCTGTTCATAATACATTTTTCTTCTGTCCACTTCCATATTTTATAATCTTTCATTACCCCAAAAGATAATGAGTGCTGCACAACTTTGGCCTGCTGAGATTTGGGTTTAATTACTCTTTGATCACTGTAGGAATAGCACAGGAGTGTTAAGGTACCAACACCGTAGCTGTGTTTAAAGTGGAGAAGCCCTAACGGTTCTAAAGGCCAGGTAGCTGACAACTATCTGATGAAAAATAGTGGAAAATCTGATACAGATGATTGCTAATAGTGAGTTATAGGTTAGGAACATGCCCTTTGGAATATGATACTCAGCATTGTTCGCTAAAAATGTTGTGTCCGATAAAGTAAATTCATAGCATTACAGTACACAATTTGTAAGGCATGACCTATTGATATAAAGGAAATTCGAGTATGCTGTATTGATTAAGAAGATGTACTATGACAAGCCAATAAAGCATAGTTAAGTGAACTGAGAACTTTTAGTGGACAGGAGAAATAATTGTCAGCTGGAAATGCTGTCTGGTTATTTTGGTTGGTTTCTGCAGGGATCAATATTTGAAAACGATCTACATTTCCATCCATGATTTGAAGGTAAATACAAAACCACTACAGGTGGAACACTGACATCTTTGGGGAAACAGATAAAACTGTCTGATTTCAACAGGACCAAGCATGTCTTCTTGCAGAAGCCAATCATGTTGATGAGGATCAGGGATTCAGTGCTGCCTGACAAAGATGATGTGACAGAAGCTACTGACAGTGAGCAATGGCAATGAAGAGGAATGTTTCTCTTTCTCCTTTATCACAGAACCTTAAGACTTTGGCAGAAGGGGTTTCTGCTTCAGGAAGTTGTGTGATACATAGCTAAGTGATGAAATCAGCACTGTGGCTGCAGCATATGTGTGATGGTGATACGAGCAGGGTAACAATGGAGCTAGCACAGCAGCGCGCACAGTGGCAGACCTGCCTCGATCCAAGCCCTCAGCCTGGTCTCCTCTCCTCAGCGGCTTAACCATAACTGCAGCTGGATTTCTTAAATCAGTGAATAAACAGACCTGTTGAAGCCCCCCCAGGGGGTCTGAAAACAGATCTGCTTGTCCCCATCACCCCCGCAGCAGCTGCTCGGAGAGGCTGAATGGAACGGAGCTGCGTGCAAACATGCTGGCCCTTCGCACACACAGCCACTGGTGCAGGAGAGCTGGCCGGGTGCCCCGCACTGTAAAGGGTAACATTTCAGCTAAGGCAGGCACTAGGATCTGGTGTCATACCCGAAGAGGCATCAGGCGGCTCCAAAGGGGAGGGAAAGACCCAGTACTTCACTCCTCTCCAGGGTGGAACGAAGAGATAAATTGGGTAATTACAGAGCTCGCCAGACTATGTGAATTCTGGCAGCAGCATCTGTGGTCCAAGAAGTGTGAATCCAGGCACTAGTGCCTAGTGCAGCATACTGCATGCACAGGATAGGGGCATGGATCCAATGGCTTTTGGTAGGACACATGGCCTGTTTCTGGATTCCCCAGTGGACCTCACTACAGATTCTGCTCCCTGTTCTGTGTGTACACTCCTGAATAGTCATGGTCAGCAGCAGCCTGGGGTTTGTGATACAAACAAGAACCTTCAGAGTGTATGGAAGGTATTTGCCAGCACTTTGGTATTGTAGGGGCAGGGTGATGAGTCGAAACTGGATCCATTAATTGGACATATCCTTTAGTCATAGCACTCCTTACGCATAGGAAGTGTTGGTAAGAAAAAGTGGAAATGAATGCTCTTTGCTACAAAGATGGGAAATCGCAGGCAGATAGGAAAGTGATTAACCCAGGCTATGATAGTGGTCAAACAGTGGCACAGATGAGTCATCTCAGAATTAAAATGTTGATTATTGAAGGGAACACTTAAGCAAATTATCTGGGCTAACCACAGGTCAGCAATGCCCCCAGCGCATAGACCATATTGTGCTGCTGCCTAGACTCACGACAGAAAGGGGAGAGTAGGACCAGGGTGGATAGCAGGGCCAATGTAATTTCCTCCTATATGAAGATTAATGAAAGTCACTCAATTGGACTGGCTGACTCAGTGAGCAAAGGCACAGCAGAGGTCCAGCCTTCAGGACCTCTCCAGTTGGGCTTTTGGTGTAATTTCTAGAGCGTGGAGCATATAATCTTCTTTCTACCTGGTTGACTGGCATTATGTCACTTCCATCCCTTCCCACTTAAACATTGTAAGATATCATTAGTGGGACTGTGACTGAAGATTTTTAGGAAGGTCAGCAAAGGAATAATTCTCCATATTTCCCAGAGTTCCTTTGTAACCTTGTTTCCTGAGCAAGACTGCATGCTGACCATCGCGTGTGACCCTTCCGTCTCTGCACACAGATGCCAGGAGACTGTAGAGGGACCCAGAAATGAGTGGGAGAAAGCATCTCAGGGAATGCGATAAAGCAAATGCAAGACAACATAGTGCCTGTGCCTCCCTCCACCAACACTGCTTATTCTTGAGTTTTGACTTTCACTTCAAAGACAAAGCAGGCAGGACCTTTGATAAAAAAAAACCACAAAATATGACCTGTTGTGAACAACTGTCCTTCTGAGCACAGGGATGGAAAGAGATGATGGAATTTGTTGCCTTTCATTCTTCTTCGCGTAGGAACATTTTGGCAACAACTGCAACCCAGCTGATGTGTTCTAGAGCTGCTTGTAGCTGAGAAGCCATGAGAAGTCATAAAAACCCACATTGTCATGCCAAAGGACAAAGAGCTACAGGATTGAAACTGTCTGGATCAGAAGATATGTGGTTCCTGACTGGGAAACATGCAATGGCTCATGGAGTTTCAGCTGTTAGCCTGAGTGGAGATGCATGAACTGGAGGGAAATGCTTTAGAAAAGAGATCAAAGGTGTTTGATCTCTGCCTTGGTGTTTCCCACATCCTGTAGCTTGGGTTGCACAGTATCTTATAATTTTAGTTCTTGTGTTGTGCTGGGCTATCTGCGTCAGTGCTGACCACAAGAAGAGAACTGACCACTACTAAATCCCGCAACGATTCTCCAGTATCCTTGGCTTCCCTACTTACAGTCTGTTCAAGGTCTGACAGCCAGCCGTGCCAGCCAATAGTCCAGGCTTGTCCATATACAGTCCTGCCTGTTGCTGTGGGTGTGTTTGTTGTTTTCCCCTGGGCTGACAGGCAGCTGAGCATGTTTATAAGCCCTGTGTCTTGGCCCAGATTTGTGCAGGAGAGGGAGGAAGGGGGATTTGGCCTGGCCCAGTGTGGTGACAGAAGGTGGTCACAGTTGTCATACAGACTAATTGCACTTCTAACCCTTCTTTGCTGTTTACAAGCTGCACCCCACTGAGGACACATGTCTCTGGCCGGCTCCTGTATCTCTGAGTTAAATCACGAGGCTCCTGCTCTCGCTTTAGGCCCTGATAGCCACCTTCTGTGTGCTAACTCGGAATGCAGCTTCCACCTGAGCTTTGCTGGCAGGTTTCTTAGCAGAGAGTGAGAAAGTATTCATATCTTAAGTGGTATAACAGTCTGTTATTTAGTTTGTATCTGATATCTAGCTATTTAGAGCTGGCTTCAGGAAAAACAGCCCTGTTGCCATGATTGCTGCTGAGATGTCTGCAAACAACCACTTGAAACAGGCAGATCTGAGTCCCCTTGCTTTGTCCCCAGAGCTACTCTGCACCTGGCTCACCTGGTTATTTTCCCTCCTTCAGCTCCTGAGGAGCTTTGAGGGGTCTTCTTTGTGTGATACTATTTCTTTTCTCTCCCTTGCTTGCTTTTCATCCATCTTTCTCACTCCTCCAGCCCTGCTTCTGTATCACTTGTCCATCCACTAAATTTCACTTTTATGGGGGTTGTCCTGCTGCCGAAGAGTTATCCCTTGATACAAAACCTTGGAAGGCTTTGCTCTCTCAAGAAGCAATAAAGGGTGCTTAGTGTACAACCTGATGGCTCCTTTCACTTGGCTGGGAGAGGTGCTACTCTCACTCATGACTTATTTGAATCACTGCTGATGTGGGGAGCTGTAGCAAGAAGAGGCATGCACTTGTGTCCTCAGGTTATACCCATACTGCTCACAGTACTTCAGAGAAGATTGCAGCACCTTTACCCTACCA